CAGCCTGGGAGCACTTTGCGGACAGGAACCAGGAATAGTTCTTGTCTTCTGGGTCCCCAGTGTCCAGCCCAGGGCCGCGGGCACACAGTAACTGTCCACTGAAGGCTAATACAGAGAACGAGTTCTTGCCCCCTGGAGCAGCATAAGCCCAGTTAATTCACAGTTTGCTCAAGAGAGAACCTGTTACTTTGGCCCCACCATACCTGTGGCCAGTTGGAAAGACTTCACATCTGACTAATAATTACCGCATACATATAGTGCAGTTTTTGGATTGTGATCCATGATTGGGCTTTGTACATGCAAGATTCCTGATTCTCTGAACAGTCCGACAAGCTTGGGGTGATTATCTTCATTTTATAAAGAGGAAGCTGAGGCTTAGTGTATATGTACCAGGGATGAGTATCAATTCACAAATTCAGGTGTGCAAGTATATCAGACACCTCTTATGCCCCATTTCAGATCATCTTGGCTTCACCTACTGCTTATTTTACCACCATCTTACTCTGCTGACTTCAGCAGATACAACCTAAATGGGCTTCACCTCAAACCCGTGCCTCAGGCTTCCCACCTTCTGCACCAAGGCTTATTTCTTGATGCCATGGTGTCATGGGGCTCTGCTGGGACCACTCAGCACCCAGACAGGTGCATCCCAGAAGTGCAGGGAATGGTTAATGCCTACTGGGACAAATCTTTGACCAATGGATCAACACCAGATGAATACATGCTTCTCCCTTTTTCCCTTCAGACAGATGCCTTCGGACATTTCATATTGCTTTCAAACTATCTAGAAGGATCAAGCGACCAAATGCCTTTGCAAGTGGCCAGTTTGACAATGCATCTTTCCAGTGGCTCTCCTTCCTTCCCTGCCTTACAACCCCTGTCCTTCACTCCCCGCCCTTGGACTCATACTTGCCAATAAACTACTCATATGAAGAGTTTATTGCACACTAAGGCATTGTTGGGACAAAGAATGGCCCTAGAAAACAACTTTAGGTTGGCATTTTTGGAACTGGGCGGCTTGCCAATCAGATGGCAACAACAACCAACTCCATTGCTTGGTGATAACACCAAGAATAGCCTGGCATCACAGTTACTAAGGTGTCCCTCTGAGTTTGACTTAGGTGAGGTGCAGGGAAAAGATAAGATGTTGGGCTATCTACTGACTGTGGCACTGGAACAGTAGGAGGACGTGATAATTATAACGAAAGTGAATAGACTGGCTTTTCTTTATTGAAAACCTTGACAGTAAAAGAATAGCCAACTGTCACTTTGATGGACTTCGTGAAAGCTAGAGAGTCTCTGCACCAGCTATGAAGAAGATTCTTTTTCTTCTACAGCTCTGAGAAAGACTGGGCCAAAAATCAGGCCCAAGATCCAGTTGTAAGGATGTCAAGATTTCAAAGAAGGCTGAGTACACAGCCTCTGTAGTTTTCCATCACAGAGACAGTGACGAAAATTGAGTGAGAACTTAAGAACCGGAATGAGGACATTTGGGTGGAAAAGCCTGAGACTTGACCATCCCTGGCTTCTAGATTCCACTGAATCTTCCACAGTAGGAGTATTCCCTTCCCTTTGATAGAGGAAAGCAAATGCCTCCTGCTCAGAGATCCTATAATGACAACCCGCACAACATTGCTTCCAACTATGGAAACAATCGAATTGTAAAGAATGTACAATGGGGACACATGGCCAGGGGATCCTCGCGTTTTACCATGTAATGCAGTCTCCCAGAAGTAGATGGCCTAATAGAATGGTGGGATGGTTTGGTAAAAGCACAGCTAAGGCCCCAGCTTGGGGAAAACACTCAGGGGATTGGGGCATTGTCTTCTAGCATGAAGTCCACGCAGTAAACCAATGGTTTATAAATTACTCATATCGGTGCTTTGTTCTAAATACCTGGCATACGCAGATCATCTGCAAACCAAGGGGTACCACTTGTTGTAACTTCCGTGAAACCCACTCATGGAATTGGTGCTCCCTACCTCACAAGCTTAAGCTCTGCTTGGTTAGAGATCCTGGCTCCTGGGGAAGGGGAAAAGGGAGAGAACTCTTCTACTCCACCGACAATTCCACTGAATTGGAGGCTGTGTTTTTGGCTCCTATGCCAGTGCACCAGCAGGGGAAAAAAATGAGTGCTACAGGTGGGGATAACCCTAATAACTTTAAGTAGTTAGGGAGAACTATTTTAGGAATTTAGGGGATTCACTAGGCATCTCTTGGGACTTCCACTCCCTCTGGTAATGAGTGGTTAAAGGGCAGTTGCAGCAAAGATAGCCTGTCAAGGGCATCTGAGGGCTCAGATCACTCATGGATGAAGGTCCAGATCAATCCAAAGTGCTGGCGAAAGGTGAGGGGAAATCCAGGACGGGTAGTGGAGGAGGGAAATGATGCATGTTAATTTGGGCCTTGGAACCTCTTGCAGCAGCAGGAAATATGATTTGTTTTAATAACCTTTACACACCAATTCTTTGCTGAGTGAGGCCAGCCTCTGCCATGAGAAGGACTCTAACGGATTGAGCGTGCTCCTTCTCAGTCTTAGGGAAGCCATGAGAATTATCTAGATAGCATAAAAACGGAGTCCTCATAGAGCAGGAGCTGATATAATACAAGGCACAAACATGTAGGTAGATTGCATCAGACGACTCTTAATGTGCCACTTCAGACCTTTTTTGGCCCCCCGTCTTATCTTCCAGCCACTCGTGCCATGACCAGTTCTGTACAGGCACCAACCAGCTTCTCACAGGTGCTGCCTGACAGCATATCATCTCAGGGCCTCTCCACCGGAAACTTCTTTGTGCCCACACACGTTCCCTGAAAGCGCTGGGGAGTTAACAACCCCAGGGGGCAAACTTTTGATTGATGGAGAATAGGAGCCCATGGATAAATATTTCTCGCTCTTTGTCTAGGCAGATGGTCCTGAGATTCATTTTATACAATTTGAATAAATTGTATAAAATTCTCAGATGTCTGCAGAAGTGGCATCTTTTTTTTCTTTCATAAGCGGCATCTTGAGACTGTGTCTTTGTCTTAGCTCTCTCTCCTTCCTGGCTTCATTCCTTCATCCTTCATCTCTAACTCAATTTGTATTTGTAACCTTTATCATGCTAATTTTACACAAACTTAATCTCAGACATTTCGGAGTCCTCCCCTTTCCTTAGGTTGAGTCCCTCAGGGCCTAGGTGGCCAGAGATTTAGGGGCAACCCATTTGATCCTTGGCGTCTTCTCTCTGCATGGGCGTCCCTGGGTCACCCATGGCTCCCTCATTTGTAGGGCTGTTGAAGATAGAGTCTTACTACCTCAGCATAGCCTCTTCAATCCCAGCAATGCTTTCTACCATTTCCAGGTCTGTCTTGGGCTTGTGGGAATCACTCTCCGTTTTCACAGAGAGGTATGATAACTCCAGGTATGGCAAATCTCTGCTATGCTAAGCTCTACTTGCCCAGACAAACCACACAGCCATTTTTGTCTGCTTGGGTAGAATTCCTGAGGTTCTACCTGGGAATTAGGCCTTAGGTCATCTCTTCTCTCGGGGCCCACAGGTTAGGATCTATCCTAGGGAGATAACACGCAGGACTCTATTTTGGGGAAACAGCCACATCTACACCCCCAAATTCCTCATTTCTCAAGTTCCTTCTTACCACTCAGCCTGAGGAATCTTTTCCTAGCTTACCTCTTATTCATGAGTCTTCTTGTCTGTTCTCTTAAAGGCCTTCCTGACTATGTAAAACTTAAAAAAAAAAACAAACCTGAAGAGTCTTATTTTCTTTCTTCATATGTTTCTACTTCCCTTCTTTAAGCAACTAA